CGGCTTCATTCTTTTAACAATCATGTTTCTACGGAACAGCACATTGTCCTCAGAATCGGCTAATATGAGCACCCTACCAGGTATCAAACGAGAACGGATTATTTCCAGCATTTCAATCGTCTCCTTAGCATCCGCTTTGCCTGCTACATAAATCTAGAAAAAAATTCAGAAACATATTATTAAGAGCACTTACAATCTCATGAAAAAACTAACATGACTGCAGCAGATAAACAAAAACACACACCTGTGTTGGATGGTGAAACTCGATCAGCGCTAGCATCATTTGTGGACAGGCAGCCGGACAATTTGCAAGTTTATTACCGAACGCACACAGAAGCTTTTCAGCTTTATGTCTGAGATCGTCACGATCCAAGTAAATCGCTAAACGCAACAGATTTGAACATGCAATTGAATTACCGGATGGTTGCGAGCCATCGTCAGCTGCAATAAAAAACAGAAGTTCATAAAGTGAAAAGATCTATATGTCGACAGCATAATTAAGAACGTAATAAAATAATCAAGACAGATGTAATGTGATATTCAATAAACAGCGTTATAAATATTTGAATATAACATAATCTTTACGTGCGCAACAAAATTTCGTTTGACTTTATTCAGTTGTCGTAATTGTTATACCAAACTTTGACATTCAAAATTAAAATTACTAGAAGAGTATTAAAACATACAATCTTTCGTCCGTGTAAGTATCGGAGACTCTTCGGCCATAGCAAAATAACCACCATCTTCCGAGTCCCAAAACAATCGGTCTTGAATATCCTGCAGCTCTTCGGCAAACTCAACCCAATGTGTGTTAAAGGTGGCTTCGTACAAGTCGAGCAATCCTTTCACAAAAAACGCGTAATCCTCGTGGAAGCCAGGTATCGGATCGCTCCTACAAATCGCCATCATAGATCATTTGTTGATAAGAAGTTTAAGACAATATACGTACCTCTGTACAATTTTGTCATCTCTCCTGCGGTAACAACTGCGAAGTAATATGCGTTTATCTTTATTAAACAGATATTTTTCCACGAATGTGGCAGCTTCCGTTGCTGCTTCAATATACGTCTTGTTTTTTACAGCTATTCCAGCACGCGCAAGACCACTTATCATAAGACCTGTAAATAGATCACAAATCGTTAGACAATGCGAAAATACAAACGAATCACAGTGATAATGACATCAACGTTACTCATTACAAATCATTACCATTCCATGATGTGACCATTTTATCATCCAAACTAGGCCATGGTCTATGTGATCTGTCTTCATATAAAGTAGTACAGGCTTCTTTAATATATTTTTGTGTCTCCTTTACATTGAGCTTAAAATGGTTAGCAGTATCTTCTATTCCCGACTGCATTGACAATACGTTTTTACCTGTAAGCTCGCCATGAGGATCCTACATTACAGAACAAATGCATTCATAAATGTTTTATAAATATTTCTTACTTTATGGTTTTAATTGCAAAACATACTTGTGGCCTTTCTACATTTCCTTCCTTCTGCACTGAGAAATGTCGGCAGATAAGGTCAAAATATGTAACATTGTCCTTACCAGGTACTTTCTTTTTTAAAAGAGTCTTAAGATTGTCATAGCTCCAAACATAAAATGCACCCTCCCGTTTCGCTGGGGCATCAAATGTAGGTAGTGAATCTGCATCCACCGCACTGAAGAAACCACCTTCCTGAATAATGCACACATGCTAAATATTTTATATCTTTCCACATGTTTGTTGCTCTGTACAATTTTGATTTTAAAAAGTCTAAGTGAAGAAAAATATTTCTTGTAAGTTAGAATCTCTTATTGCATCTAGGACAAATATTTAACATAATACTAGACAAATCCATGAAAAAGCAATAGAATAATACCATATGTGTCAGCATACGTAGGACGTACGTTGCGATATCATCTACGATATCGGAAAAAAAGGAATCTTTCGTAATGAGGTATGCATCGACGTAGCATTGTATTAGTTGAGCTTGATCATAAAGCATTTTCTCGAAATGAGGAACTTTCCATCGAGCGTCCACAGTGTATCGATGAAATCCCTGAAAGAATAATTGAAACTATTCGATTTGCACGTTGTAATAGCGAAAATGACGAAATGAATCTTACTTTCCCCACGTGATCGTGAAGTCCACCAAAAGACATTTTCCTCAAGGTATTCAGAGATGCATTTAAAGACATCTCAACCAACATAGTAGAAGTACTTAAAATATGCATACTGAGAAGAAAATTTAAGTTGCTCGGTTCGGGAAATTTCGGCGAGTTCGGATTCGTAGCGGATGAGCTACCAAATCCGCCGTATTCTTCATCATATATATTCAATAAGACGTGAGCACACAAGAAAGCGCAATCAATCGCAGGAACTCCATCATCCTATATCACAAAAATCGATGAATAAAATACAATATTAAAATAATTTTAAATTCTATTTAAAATTTTATTTCAAATATTCATTCACTTTTATATCATGTCTGCTTGTGGTCAATTCCTTCAAACGTTCTGATACAATATTGGCGGATTTGACCATTTTGTCTCTTCCTTCTGTCCACTAAAATAAAAAAAATATTTACAAACCTAATTTTATCTTTCTTATAGAGTAAAATATAAATAAAAATATTTATATATGATGAAAATACTATATACCTCTTTTACAATTCGTGTCAAGTATAATGTAAACATTGCACAGCTGAAATATGTTCCGCCTGTTATCGGCATCAAATCTGGTGTCAGGAAAACATTCAATGGCCAACCGCCATGACCTCTCAATCTCTATCAAATATAAATATCTTCATTAACATGTTGAGCAAAGTTAAAATACAATTACAAGTGACAAATATTTATAAAGAATATTATAAGTTTTGCACATTTATTAATTATAAATAAGTGATAAAATATGCATATATTGTATTTTGCTGTTTATTCTCAGATTTCGTATAATGCATAACAATAAATTTAACACTTGCCTGAATAAACATCATGCACATCATATCGATATCGGGTCTCTCTTCTCTATCTACTTTAATATTAACATAATTCTCGTTCATGATTTTTGCAACTTCCTCATTCTTAAACGATTCCTTTTCCATTACGTGACACCAGTGGCATGTAGAGTAACCGATAGACACAAAAATTATCTTGTTCTCCTTCTTTGCCTTTTCTAGAGCTTCGTCACCCCAAGAATACCAATCCACAGGATTGGTTGCATGTTGCAATAAATACGGCGATCTTTCCAATCTCAAGCGATTTTTCTTTACTTCAGGCTCGCTTTTGCTATCCTGCCGAGATGTTGATGCCATCTTAATAGATGAAAGAAAAGGCGCTTTACTGTTACTCAACCTATTAATTTTTTAAAACATATTTATCAATAATAATTTTTAAATTTTAGTTTTTATTAAATATTAGGCAATAAAATATAAATATAATATGTAATTACTTTTTCATTTTCCGTTCAATAATAGAAAGTGGAGCACTTTCAGTGAGATGAAAATTTTTATGATACTCGTGTGCTCCTGTACTGCACTGTTTCTTATATAGCTCAGATACGCAGCGAACTACTGATAATGAATTGCATCTTCCCAAAATCATAACACACCTGGCATGGAGAATATACACAGTAAAGTTGATCCTGCACATATAATGTAAATATAAACAATTGATTAATTAATAATTATTAAATAATAATTAAACTGAATAAACAGTATTATAATAATATTGCTCATTTAACAACAGAACATCTTTCAATAAAAAAAAAAAAAGGATTTATAGAAGTTTTTTTTTTAATCCTATACATTGTAAGAATAAAAGAGATAATTTTATACATACGTATATATAAATTATATATATCTGACATAAATAGCCAAACTTGAGCAATGCATATTCTAGAGCAACCTATGTAAAGAGTGACGTACTATTAACTATTATTTCATATTTAATTTAGAAGGTACATTAAATACAAATGGGAAATTGAATATACTATATTAAAAATATTAAAATAAAAGAATTTATTGAAAAGAGAGTATTTTACGCGCGCGAAATATTTTAGTTCGCAGACTGCGGCAAATGTGGAGAAGCCATTGTCAAAATTCGCGGGGCATCCAATATAAAAATAAAAATAGAAATTACGTATTTACGTTCTACGAGTGAATATCGCACGGCGGATCGATATTTGACGAAAATCACACAGCTGATGATGAATTCGTAAGCGTCAATCCTTTCAATGATGATTAGATAATAGCGGATACGCTCGCCGATATTGCATTACATACGGAAATTCGAGAATATCCAATCAGCGTAGCTCGTCGTCTTCTTCTTCTTATTTAATTAATAGCTCCCGCCTCCAACAAATAAATAGGAGGTCGATACGGCCAGATCACGTTATAGATTAAATGATTCAAAAAGATTAGGTAGAACGAAATAATGAATATTACTGGTGGCGCACAGACCAGAGCCACCAGAGCAGAATGATCCAGAAAGATTTTTTCTCGCGGCCCGGTACAGTAGGTCAAGCGGAGCAATGAGCTCCGCTAAGATTGGAGAAACTGCTCGTCGTCAAATCTCCCTCGTCGATTTTCCCTCAACGATTCTTGCCAATTTACGCTACGCCAGAGATGGCGCGTCGATTGTCAAAATAATTACTACGCACTTCACATTTCACAACACAACAATTAACACATATGTATGCGTCGATTTCAATGACGCTAAGTGATCACGTGGCCAGGGCACAGTATATACCCTCCCGTGTATAGCCTTGTTTAACATGGTTGGACAACAAGGATAAAACGATATACGGCAGAGCGGAATGCGGAAAGCAGTAGCCAATCAGAACTCGCGTTGATAGCAAATAGTATAGAACTAACAAAAAATCGACTACCAACGCGAGTTCTGATTGGTTACTGCTCTTCCGCTTTTTACTGTTCGTCAAGTTGTAAACTCGCCCTAACATCAAAAGTACCGATAGAGATTTTACGCTTCTGTATATATTGTGCTCTCATCGCTCCTGCCAATCCTACGTCATCTGACGTCATCTACGATCTGACCATCTGACAAGACTGAGCATTCCAAACAATGCGATAAAATTATCGAGGAACGCCTCGCTTGTTGTTCGAATAATATCGCAATTTAGACAGATAAAAATCGGGAAAGAGAATATACTATAGCGACAAAGAAAATGGCAGCTATACATCGAGAAGCGATACAAAAACAAATTCAACAAGACTGGGCTAATCGCGAATACATAGAAGTTATCACTGGCAGTATTAAAAAGATTACGGACTTCCTTAATTCTTTCGGTAATTTTTCCTAAAGCTTTTGCGTGAAATGCAAAAATGCTGTTAAATTAATATCTTTAATCTTATTTATTATGTTTTTTTTTTTAGATATGTCTTGTAGATCGAGAATAGCAGTTCTTAACGAGAAGCTCACGACCCTCGAACGGAGAATAGAATATCTCGAAGCATGCGTAAGTAATGTTCTTTTGTTTATTTAAATTTTGATTACATTTTATGTGATTATAGAAAACAATCTGTTTTTTAGATTTGTTCACTTATGTGTCACTTCCATTGTTATATCACTATATCAAACATATTTTTCTATTGTTTATTTTACATTTACTTATATCAGTAGTTTCATAATAACATTTGTTTCATAGGTCACAAAGGGTGAAACGCTGACATAATACTTGTAGGCACAATATATCCTTTTTACAATCCTTTTTATTTCCTGTACTAGAATTTGAATAAATACATAACGAAAGCGAAACATATGCATTTCATATCTCTTTGTATCATTAATTATACAGTATGACTTATCCCCCTTGGATTTATGTATCAGCAGCACTAATTATTCCTATTCTATATATGAAATATTTTTACTCCCAGGGTCTAGGTCCCCTAGGATCCTTAATGAGAGTCATGTCAAAGGGGAAAGTAGTATATTCCTCTCGAATTCCTTTCGTACTTAACGGAAAAGGCTTGAAATCATTCAGATCACCATACTTCTTGATTATGGCGCATGCAGTTATTGCACCTGTCCAACTAAAACTTAATAGACCATTCTTTTGCCAGCGATAAAAGATTCCACCTGAGACTAATGCTGCAACAAGTGAACATTAAAATTTAATAATTATTTCTGGTGAATGTATTAACTGATACATTTATACATTACATACAGGCTAGAATGTAATTGGCATAGTCGTCTTTTCCCCTAATTTTTGTCGCTGTATATGCTACAGAGGCAAAGGTAGCACACATGGCAGTGATAGGCACCACCCAGTAAGATAAGCAATTTACTGTATTCCAGAAGCCTGTTGTCTGAGATAACATTACAGCATCATACGTGCCAATTCCGAGACCACTGATAAATCCATATTTACTTAATCCGACTATCTTTTCAAATGGCTGCTGGCCTTCTGGGGCATTACTATACCTCCAGTTATTCCAGAAATATGTTATTAACATGGTTGTGAGACTGAAACAGAGATTACAATAAGAATAAAGAATAAAAAATTTCTTATGACTATTGTATATAGTTTATACTACTATGCATTTTTATATCCAGTGAAGAAGTTGTGTTAGATTTCAAATTTCTGTCATCGTAATTAATAAATCTAATTTTATTTTAATGATTTTAGTATAATATATATTTTAATATAATAAGATATGTAGTATGTACACTACAGCAAAGTACATAAATATCAAAGAGGAAGTATCTACATATGATAAAAATGAACATAATTGTAACGACAATAGTAATTAGGTAATAGTTAAGATCATTGTATGTTCTCTAAGTGAGGACATGTGAACTACATACGTCTAATACAATATGTGACAATAACACCCAGTGAGAAATGACAATGGAATCAATGTCAATTTGACGTTGACTGATGATTTCGACGTCGAATTGACATCGATTCGATATCGATTTCATTATCATTTTTCACTGGGCATACTCCGATATTACGCAAAGGGAAAAAAATATGTAGCAAATGCCAAGATGGAGATATTCTAGCTAAAGTTATGACATAACTCTAACGTTGATGGTTATACTTTTTGTACGCACCGCGAGTAAATCAAGCCTCGCCGATTCAATTCGCCATAAACACGACAGTGGCACGTCGGCCAGGTTATGTCAGATCGTAATCGAAAGATACTTCGAATACCAATGTATCGTGGTATCGTGTAATCACGTGTAATGTTCGCGTATGAGTTCTATGTTTCAAAAACACACTTAACACTGCTACCAGTAAAAAGTTATGATAAAAAGATGTACAGTTGGCAGTATTGAAAATTACAGGTGCTCTGTTTTTCAGTGGAATCTGACAGAGATGAGGATAGGAAAAATAAAAAGCAAAATATGAATTTTTACTACTTACAAGAGATATTTTTAAGGTGTAGAAAATACAAGATATTAATATTAATTGATAAGTATTTGTTAGTTTAATATTCGATAAATAAATATTGATAACTTATGTGTTATGCCAATGTGCTTACATTTTGTTCATATGCATATGAGCTTCTCAAACCAACCGAAACGTCCAGTTTGACTCATGAAAATGTGCTTTAACACTAATCGTTCTTATCCAAGGAGCTAACCAATCAGATTAAAATTTTAGTTTCTCGCATGCTTGCCAATTACAAAAATCAATTGAAATTCTTTACGATTTACGAGGAATGAAATAGATTGGAAAACGGTGTTCATAGTTAAAAGAACATTTAAATCTCTCTACATATTATAATTGTTTAATCATAATTATTACTTATAATCGTCGCAAAATGTTGCGCATCATTGCAAAACGAATACAGGTGTATACCCAGAAACAGAGTCACGTTTCATCAGAAATCATGTAGTTTGTAAGTCTTAACCTGTCTGTCATGCGAGCGTTTCAATTGTTGTTGCTTTCAGGGTGTAACGATTACTTCTTTACGAACCTTTGGCACACAAACTGCGAGTACTAATTCATCCAATGTGAATACCAATGTGCCAGGCCTCAGTAATAACGTTGTCAAAATACCAAACACACGTAAGAATAAACAGTATCATTCTACTAGACTTTTGTTAAAACAAGTTTCAGCTTAAACCATAAATTTGTTTAGCTGTAGGACCCAACGCCTCCAAGAATAAGGAATACAAGAATCCCGAGTACTTTTGCTATCATGTAGACTCGTTCGGGGAAGCCGAAGTAGAATTGGCAAAGTACAGGTTGCCAGCACCATCTAATAGAACACCGTTCAATAAATAAACGATAGAACAAAAGCTTGCAGTAGGAACGAAATAATAAATTTAATAAGTTGAAAAAATGTACAAAAGAGATGGCGATGATAAGCTGTGTGTGTTCAAAACTATATGTGTTACGTATTAATCTAGAAAAATATGTTTGATTTGTCTGTGTGATTCTCTTGTCGTATTCATTTTAGCCCTGAAAATGAGAATACTTTGTGTTGAATGTTATCCTGTAATTGCTATTTATAAAACATGTAGACACAAATTGTATAAGATTTTCAGCATTCCTTAAATCCTCAAAGTGATGACAAATCTTGCCCGATTGAGAATCACTGTTTGGATTGTTAAAGCAATGCTAGAACTGACAGACACAGCTGGTTGGAAAAGAGATGGAAGGGATATTCACACAAAGAGCTGACTGAGTGCTCATATTTAACACATGGACACAGAGCTCCTTTTTCTTTTGGTCCGTTCGATTTCCTCGACGAAGTTGTGTTTCAATTCTACCATTATTTGAATGTGACGGAACCAAGATTAACTGGTTTGGAGTAGTTGGGAATGTTTATTTATACGAAAATTCCAGATAGGTTCAAAGTGCACGACTTGACCGAACTGATCGGTTCCCCTCTTTGCCCCTTATCGATAATCATAACTGACTGACTTCCACCGCTTCCACGTTGAATTAGAAGAAACATGCCAACCATACAACTGTTTGGTCCATGGCATAATGAGCAAAGTATATATAATATATATAACGACGGTGCCGGCGTGTCATGCCATGGTCTCCAGACTGTATAAAGCCGACCAACCCGGTTCCTGCCGCGTAAAAGTGCTGAAGAGTGAGACAGGGTCAGGGTTCGACAACGAAGGTCCGGCAATTCCTTCAGTCATTTGACTGACAAGTTGATTTACTTGTGATTTTTTCTGTTTTTCCTTCTTTGTTTTCCCCCCTTTTGCTCCTGTTGTCCCTTCCCCGCTCGTGTCGTCGGACCGACCGTCGACGAATGGAATCCCGAGTTCAGCCGGTGAGTGCTCAACTTGGCTCAACTCGGACGGAGTGCTAGTGAGTGCTGGATTCCTCGTAGATGTGAATTCACCTTCGGACCGAGAGGTCGGCGTTCGTTCTCTCGCGTCTCCCCCGTGCCGTTTGCGCATCCGCGCAGAATTCGTGAGTGTGCTGCAACGATCCGCGGGCATGTCGTCCGTTGCGCGAAATCGGTTCCTGTCGGCGCTCAGCGTCGCGCGGCGCCTCGTTGCCGTCGACCACGCGCACGTAGCACACATGGGCGTGCGCCGCGGGAATGCGGCGTGCTGGAGGTGAGATGAGATAAGAAGCGCGTAGAATTCACCTCCGTGATGAATTCACCTCTGTGTCTCTGTGACAAGAATATTTTTCACCTTTCTCAGTAGGATATGTAAATAGAATTTTTCGTTTTTTTTTTTTTTTTTTTTTTTTAAGACCTTTTCGAAGATTTTGATCGGGACAACAACGATAAATTTAACCGAGAAGGATGAAAAAGTATTCTTATTTGCATACCCGCAGATGATTACTTACAGTTAAGCACGACGAGTTTTAGGAAGATACAAAAATCCCCGAAATATATATATGGAGATAGAGAACTGTTTTGTATATAATATGCAAATGAAAATAAGAAATATGTTTACTGAACAGTTCTGATAAATTCGTCCTCTTCTTTAGTTATGATTTAGAAGAATCATCTATCGCGCGCATCTTTTAATATTTGAAATGTTTTTATGTCAATACTTTGCGAGTTGTCTGACTAACAATAAGCGCATTGCATGATTTTTGCGGTCTACATCACCTTAAAGATTCCTTTTCTCTTATAATTTCTTTTAGTAAGTACTGCTTCTTCAACCCAGTTTTTTTACTCTCTAAATTTTTAGAATAAATCTCAATCTTTAAAAGATTTTCTATTTAAAAAACAATTTAGAAAGTAGAAACGGTTCCTCGAAATGATATCATTTCGACGTCGTTGAAATCGAAAAGTTGTCAATTGGAAAATTGTGTCGAAATTTTAACATATTTTCGAGAAACAAAAAATTGCTTATATAAAAAAGTATAATAGGAGTTGATAGTTTTTTAATAGTTTGGTATAATATGTACCTATATACCATATATGTGATGTAGTTTTACATATTCTGAAAGTTTCGTTCAAAGACTGAATTCAATATTTTTTCGATCTCACTTCGACTTACAATTCAAAAATTAACCAAAACTATAATAAAGAAAATCTATAAAAATCAACAAAAATGTTTAATGTTAAAACGCGTATTTTTAAAAAATGTTTAATTGAGAAATTCATTAAAAGTTATTAAAAGATAATCACAAAAGGTCGATAAAGTATTAAAAATAAATATTTAATAGTGTCATAGTCTGTGATATTTCTTTCCGATTAAATCTTTAAGTAAATCACTTCAAAATTGTCGATTTTATCACAAGAATCTTTCATAAGAGAACACGATTTCAACTTTTGTAGTGAGATCGAAAAGAATAATCGGTTAACACACACACACACACACACATATATATTATTATTAGCATTTCGGTGCGTGTAATTATCATGCAAATCGTTCAAGACAAAAAGAGTGTTTAATCAACATACGTTTTCATTTGTCTTTTTCCCTATCTCTCTGTCGGATATATTTGCAAGAAATGCGTTCCACACTAAACGGAGGTCGTTTGTGAATGTTTAACCAACACCTTTACACTTGCACGTTGATCCTTGTTGAATTTTCAAGACATGAATACAATTGTCACAGCCGTACAAAGACGAACTATTATTGAGCAAAGATTAGTAAACGAAACACGATTTTCTGCTGCGAAGGAATTTCGATTTTAGAAATTCTATTTTTCTTTCGATTTTGCTGCATTTTTTTTTACTTTCACATATTATTATCGAAGCCTTAGGCAATCAATTTGAATCATTTTTCCTTATAGTCGACGAAGTAAAATTTATTCGTCTGTTTACATTCAATCGAATTTATTATAATTGGCTTTGTTAAAACAGCTGATTTCGAACGCGGGTTAAGCTGGAAACACAATAGGCACAGGCAATACGCATATAGGCAACAGGGAATAACGAGCCGTCCAATTAGAGCTCTGAGGTATAAGTTCGATATTATATCCCAGAGCTCTGATTGGATGGATCATTATTCCCTGTTGCCTGTGCCTATTGTGTTTCCAGCTTAATATTATTTCTTAAATACTTATATATTTTTAGATTATTTTAACTGTAAAAAAAATAATATTCGTTTGCAAATCATTATTTAGAGACGGTTGTTTCATCCTCGGATAAATTTGTCGTAATTTATCTAGTGGATAAACAAAAGAATAAAAGAGTGAATCGAGGTTTATCGAAAGGTAAAACAACCCAGCCTTATAAATACAAATATATAATAATATGTTACCTTTGTTAGAATAAACACCACATTACGAAATCAACAGATTTGGTAAAACTTGTCTCGTGTATACATCTACCGTCTAAATTCTTTAGAATAGAATCTAACTCTAAAACATGAAAATTGAGTCAATCTTGAAAGAGTTGCTCAATCTTTTATCTTTAAGAGTGAGATTTACTCTAAAAGTTTTGAGAGAGTGTGATTAATAATAATAAGATATTAAGATAGCATCAAAATATTATTAAATTTAATGAATCAGGAATAAATTATCAGTAACTAAATTTTTCTTAATCGATAAACACAATTCAAATTAGACAAAGCAAAGTGTAAGTTCGTTAAACTCTTTGTTTTTGAGTCCTCGTTAACTATTTCGTTTGATCCAATACAAGTTGCTCGCAAAGCAAGTATATTTCGAAGATAAAAATTATAATTGTTTTACCGTTCGTTAATTTCGCTCAGTATTACGTATACGCTCAGTACTATAATTATGCTATACGTACGTGTGTACGTGGAAATTTCTGATAAAGTAAAGAAGCCTCATGACTCACGGTGATAACGATAGGTATTATAAAAACTATATATTTTTGTATTACGTTCCACGAGATACGCTGAATATTCTACGTACATCGTAACGCATCTAATTGTTAGATCATTGATAAAATTGTTTACTCGATGCTATATATATTCTATGCTCGCAGCCTATAGCAGAAACGATGACGTGCATGATCCGCGACGTGCGGTCATATTTATGCCGTGGTTATCACGTGAAACGTTGGTATACCGGATAGATAGATAGATAAGTCTAGTTGATTTCAGCTTACTCTTTTCCGTATACCTTTTAAATATTCACTTTTATTAGCGCTTTTTGTCGTACGGCGAGCAATTAGCAAAGGCTCTATTGACACTATCGATTATCGCTTCGGCCGCAGACTTCCGTATTTTCGAATATTTGAAAGAACAATATGTTTTTTATTCACAACAGCTTCGATGCTAAAGTCTATTATATATTTTGAAAGTTCTAATGATTCAGCACAAATATTAAATTACTTCACTTTCGAAAATCTTGGCCATGAAATCTTCTCTAAGGACAATTCTGCATTCTCGAACATAATTTAAATTATCAATCTTTAATTTAACAATTAATATTATCATATTATCGTTTGACTTGAATACTGTGTATGCAGTCTATAATAATTTGTAATACCTACTTGAAGTTACAGTTAGAGTGTAGTTCAAATAGATCGCAGATGCAAATGAACTTGAATTTATATGTATGCGAATAAACACTCGTTTTTATTAGCTAATCAAGTCCAGAATCTTATGCAGATTACCTTCAGTTCATTATTAGGAATTCCTAGTTTATTCTAGAGCTTAGTATATTACTTTAAAATAATATACAAAGGCATGCATATACTTATAGATAACATACATATTGCATATAAGATATTTAAAAGATGTTTTTTAAATATTTTATGCAACATAAATGTTATCTAATCATTTTTTTCCTATTCATGTTGCTATCGAAATCTTGTTGAGTTTTCTGCAGGATTAATCACGTTTATCGAATAATACTTGAACAAATCTAAAGCAGGATGTATGTTGAAGAGAGATCTCGGAATTTTTGAAAAATAGATTTCAATCAAATTTTTTTCTATAATAAAAAAGCGTTGCATTTTTATTATTTTTATTTACCTTTTTTAAAATTTCTTTTGACTGCATTTAGAAGTGTAATCTGTCCTCAGTGCCACGATTGATCTTTATCGCTTCAGCATTTATTTTGCAATTGGAGGCTGCACTTTTACACCGCGTGAAAAACTTGCTTCGTTACATATGTTCGGAATGGTATCCATGATAGATCGCATCGTTGAGAATTAAACATATGTTTTCTTGAGTAACTATAATGTTTCCTGCAGAAGTGTAAAATTAAAATCTGACCTAATTTGGCTTTTTTAATAAACATCTGGATGGAGGTACTTGAATTCAAACGTGTTTTAAATAACAGAAATTCATAATTTATTAATTAAATATATTAATAACAGAAACTTCAACTGTCTACTTTATTGTATTATTGACATCAATTCCATTGATATTCGATTCTAAGTACCAAGTTTGACTTTTAAATTATTCAGTAAATGCCTTCCTAATATTTAAATTCTTTAACATACTTATGGTAAGTGAATTATTTGTATGAGATGACATATCGTACAGGAAGTAACAATAGAGATTCCAGGAATGGTTTAAATTAAGAACCATTTTAATATTTATGTAACAATTGTACGTATGAATGCGCAATAAGTTTCTTTGTCGATCACAAGGAATGTATAAGTAACCATAAAGTTCTGTATATTGTTATTCTAATACGTATAAGCAAAGAAAAAAAATAGGAATATTTATATAAAAAAACAGTTCTCTTTGGGAGTTTTTTCTTTCCTTCTTAAAGAAACTTTTTCTTTAAAACAATTAAAGAGTTGAAATGAAAAATATTAAATCTAATGCACAAAAAAATTAAATATAAATTCGATAAGGGCCAACAGTTTCATTGTTCTTAGTCATGAGTCACGTAAATAATACACTAGCTTTGGCGTATATTGACGTAAAAGTATAACTTATAGCCGTATCTTCTTAGAGACATGGTAATAAATTTGTAATAAAATAATGCAAAGCATAAGAACAATAAAATTGTTATTCTTTATTGAATTTATATTTAATTTTTTGTTGTGCATTAGATTTAATATTTTTCATTTCGTCCGACTTTTTGCATATACATGTCGAAGCGATCGTCAACGTTTTCATATTTGTCATAATTTTCAATTCATTTGTTTTATTTTTAGAACATTGGAGTGTAATATGCGAACGGTGCATTCCGTAATACAACCGACACAAACATGGGTCACAAGCAAGGACGAAAGTCGAGAGATGATGGCAGTGTGGCCAGATGTTGTTCGCGATCTAACAGATGTGACTAAGAATTTGAATATTCCTGATGTTACGAAATGGATGGCAAAAGTAAATTAGTATTTATTAAAATACTGCATGATTTGTATACACGTAAAATGAATTAATCTCTGTTCGAAAATAAATTTCCTCAAAATAATCGGACATTATAATGTACCTAATGTATAGTCATAGATTATAATAAAAGTTTATAATATAATACTATTTTTTAAATGGCTTACGGAATGAAGTCTATTCACTGGTCCTTATTTATTAGCGATTGGTTCTTACTTATGAATATAATAATAAATAAGAAAGAATATTAATAAATAGGAAGGAACTAATCGCTCGATGAGTAGGCTGCATTCTGAAACCCATTGGTAATAAAGTGTTACAATCGTTTAATGTACATTTTATACATTATATATGTATATATATATGATATATATACATATATATAAATTTAAAGTGAAATTTTACTCATATAATGACATAATATTATAAATTTATGAAAGTAAATCAAAATAAAAATTCGAAGACAGATACACACATAAAAAACAAGTATAAATAAATATTAATTTGTAAGATTTAGTAGAACATAGTAGAAAATGTCAAATATTTTTCACTAACATTAAAAAAAATTTATAATAATAAAACAAAATATAAACTAATAAGTCATTAATGAACGAATGTGCAGACTAATACTTTTTCTGTTACACAGATATTACAGTACAATGTCCCAGGAGGAAAAAAAACTCGTGCTTTAACATTAGTCTATGCCTATAAGGCACTGGCACCAAGTGATCAACTTACGGAAGAAAACATTCGTTTAGTACGGATTTTGGCATGGTGTCTGGAACTGGTACGTAAATTTGTTTTGTTTTTTACGTTATCACTAATTGTATCCATAAATTAATTTGAATAAATTATAAATGCAAAATGTAAAAAATATCTTAATTTAAATATTAAATCTTATAGGACCGTACATGTGAGAAACACAACCAATAAGAAATTGCCTTTAACGGTCGAGCTGGATCTTAGGTGTTAATGATAATTCCGTCTGAATTTATATATTATATATGTAGTCTTTTAAATCGCGCTCCGAACAATCTTTCGATCTTGAAACGCCACTCTACGAAATTCTCGCACGGAATGTAAGAAATCCGGGTTCGAGGTAATATTTTTCGCAATATACATTAATTATTTACAGATTTTTATTCATAGATTTTAATATGTCGTTCAACATTATTAAGATTCAAGATGCTACGAGTATTAAAATTGTTAAATTGCTAGATAATTTAACTGATATTATTGCGGTAGTTTCGTAGAGTAACGTTTCAAAACCGAAAAATTGTTCGATTTAAAAAACTACATACGTAATATATAAATTCACACGGAATCATTAACACCTAAGATCCAGCTCGACCATTAAAGGCAATTTATTATTGGTTGTATACCTTAGTTTATAATACCTTAAAATTAAAAACAATATAATCAGCTATTTTAATTATAAAAATATAGTGTTGCAATTATGAATTAAATATTAACTTAATAATTTATTGTTACATAGATGCAAGCATTTTTCCTCACGATAGACGACATACAGGATCGATCTACACTTCGCCGAGGCCAACCATGTTGGTATCTATATAATGATATAGGTTTAGCAGCAATCAATGATGGTTTACTGTTCCAGTGCGCTATGTTTTATCTAATTCGAAAACATTTCAAAGGGAAAGATTATTATGTTAGTCTACTAGAATCATTTCATGATGTGAGTAAAGATGTCTTTTCTTTCTCTTTGTCCGATCATATATGTATATATTATGTAAACTATTTCCTTTTACTTTTTAATTGAACAATTATTTATAAAAGTATTTCGGTAGAGTATATTGAAGACTGTAATGGGTCAAAGTTTAGACATGCTCTCTATCAATTTCGGCAAGAAACCTAATCTGGATTTGTTTACGATGAATCGATACAATTCCATTGTCGAATACAAAACATCACATTATTCATTTGTTTTGCCAGTAACCATAGCAATGCAGTTAGTAAGTGCATCTCATTTTTCGGTAATTGTTCACTTTAGGGGAGACACCTCCAATGACCTTGACCTTGACATATGTTGTCAAGGTCATAATCCTGAGTAACCTCTAATGAGTTTTAGCCGTCGTTCGTCCTTCGTTAAAAAGTTATTAACAATCATAGTTTTAAAACTAACATATGATATATAATACATATGATATAAAGTACTATTCTACACCTTTCCTTGTTCAGGAACGTTAATCTTTCCATGCGAGGTAACATTCACCCCCCTCTCCCCCCTTGCCAAGGGGCACACGACTTCCATGATTGTACTGTTGGGGCAGACCTCTATCGACGGGGCGGTTGCGGGAGGGGGGCGGGCCGTAGATTCGCCCCCTTGCACCTCCCCCCCCCCCCC